GGCTCAGTCATAGTCCTTTTTCTTAGAGAATTACACTATAAAGAAACCATAACCCACATCAATCATCTTCATCTCCCTATATTTTGCCCGTAGTTGCTATGGTTTAGCCTCCAGATATTTCGGATTTACCATTCACCTTAGCAACTTCACTATTAGGGCATTCTGCCACCTCTTGGCTAGTTGTTCCTTTTCCCATAGGGATATGATGACGTTCAGCCCTTGTGGCGTCATCTTCACCATGATCCTCTCCTTCTAACGCTTGCTACTCCACCAATCCTCTTCCACATCCTTTGCTTCCTTCTCATTCTCATTTGTTACAGCTTGTTTGAAGGATCTCCACTTTTTTCCCCACCCTAGTTAGTCCCCTCAATCCTGCTCATCCCCCAATCCCTCTTACTAAGCCTTATGCATCCATTCTTCATCTCTAGGGGTTAGCGCTTTGTCATTTGTGAACTCACTAGCTCTTACATTTTTCCGACTTTGGTCTATGGCATCCTTCTCTTTTGGCGACAGCAACAGGTTCTTATATTCTCTCACGCTCATTTTCTCACCTTCTTTAAAGTAAGATTCACAATTATTATTGTTTGTTTCAAGAAGCTTTGAGTTTCGCTTTGATTTAGGCAAGACTACCCTTTCTGATTAATCATATGCATTATAGCTACTATTGTGCGAAAACTCCCTTACTATGGATACTCAGTTACAGGATACTTTGGGGTGATAATGACAAATTTAAAAAACAAAATAGATTGAGATCTCGTATTTAAAATCAAAGTCAATTCCTTGTGTACCTTCTACATTTAAGACTGGAGATAGTAGTAAGCAATGACACCTAATGAACCTCATATATGATGCAAAAATTTAAGTACAAGGTTGTGTTTTTTTTTCCCGACCAAAAAAAAAGTATACTAACACAAATCACATTCAAAACAATCAAATGAAAACCAGCAAAGAAGTGTAAACGCAAAACATTTTACAACTATCCAATACTAGTAGCATCTTAATCTAAAACTAGATGGTGGATGGTGGCGGGTGTCCCTATCATCATTACCCAGGCAGAGAACTTGGTAAGCACATCTGCTGGATTTGAAGTGTTAGCGGCCACTTTTTGGCTGCCCATCTATTGTCTCTTAATTTTCTCCTACTTTCCTTTTTTTTTTCATCCTTACATTATATATAAAATGAGTGACATTTTTATACCTTATCGGCAAAAATGGAGTATTTTTCAATTTTTTATGGTTTTTCAAAGAATTTGTATCTAAATTATTGAAAAGAAACTATACCAATTTTAGAATACAATTCTTTGAAAATCATAAAAAATTGAAAATTACACCATCTTTTACCTAAAGATATAAAATTATCACTTATTTTATGGAGAACATGATGATAAAAAGAAATATTAGGGGGAAAAAAAAAAGCTTTACAAAGTTGCCGCTGATAGTTTGCCTTTCAAAACTTTTAGTGTAGACTTTCAACGACGACAAAAAAAATCATCACTAAAAGCCAAACTTTCAGCACTAATTTTTTTTTTTTTTAAAATCGCTGTTGAAAATCATCACTGAAGAGTGAACAAAGGAAACTAAATCCAGACAAACAGATTTAATAATAATATTTGAAACTTATTATCTACTGTTACTTTTAAATGAGCCTTTAGCGCTGCAGCCTTAGCGATAAAAGGCATGGAAGCCTCAACAATCTTTGCAAAAGGTTGTAAGAAACTCCCCCATTATTCCATTATTTTTGTAATTCAACTCCCACCCTGTTCATGGATTTTATTATCAACTGTATATCATTTAACATGGAAGAGACCTTTGATATGTAAAATTATATCTATAAATAAAGCATTTCATTTGTATTAAGATACTGAATAGTATAAGTAAACTCTTTCTGTTGTATCTATTCTCTCTATGCATATATCTATTACTTTCTAACTTTGTTTATTTCACAACATCATGATTTGTTCAAACATGAATTACAATTATTTTAACTACTGATTTGATTTTTAGTACCTTGCCACGTGCCATACTTTTGATTATGCCAATTCGCAACATGTCGATTTTCTGTTAGAGACAAAGAAAGGTAGATGAAATGATTTTTTTTTAAATCCAAGTTCCAATAGTAAGTGAAACGAATTCGTACTATGAGTTATTTCATTCCCTTTTCCTTAGTTTGAAAGAAAAAGAATAGGATCCCACCGAAAGAGTCTCATTGCTGATAAATATGGTTTTCCTCCCCCCCCCCCTTGTTCTTTTTTAACTTGCCATGTGATTATCAAGAAAGAGCCTATCTTCCTCGTAGGGGTAATTTGTTGTTTCATTTTTTTCTGATTTTATTTGTCGTAACCTTTTTTTACACCAACGTACTAATTCTATCTGATTAAATATAAAATTATCTATTAAAATATTTTTCTTTTATCTGCTTACAACGCATCGCTTCTTTTTCCCTTTTTATTTTTATTTCAATATAATTTTTTTAAATTCAAATGAACCAATAAAAAGAAAACCCACGGTGAGGGTGATGCCCAAAGTGACGATGATTCTTGTACGAGGAAAAGCAGTGCTGAGTGAGAAAGACGGATGAAAAAAGTTTATACAAACAAAAGCGAAAGGTGGAAAACAAACGCTGGAAGGAAAGAGAACGAATGCACAACCAATGCATAAAAAGGCTAATAAAAAGAAAATAAATGTTGACTTGACTTAGAGGTGTTAAATCATTTGTTCTTCAATCTGATTTTTTTTAAACTAAATTCATATATTTTTATAAAGAAAGCCCTTTTCCGTCAAAAAACAAAAGACTAAAACAAAACTCTCGCGTTAAGTCTCTGTGCTTATTTTGGCCCAAAAAAAAAGGTCTCCGCCCATTTCAAGTTGGTGTACGGAAGATGACGTGGACACTAAGGTAAGACAACGGGGAAAGAAAACGTTACATAGTTTCCGTCACATAAAGTGATCTTTGCGTGTATATTTTTTTTTTAATAGAAGGCATCCAACACATTAAAATATTTTTTTTACATGAATATAACATTCTAAAAGGTTAATATAATTTTGGTTTTGATTTTTCAAATTTCAAACTATAAATTTTACTTCCTTAAGTTTTTTTTAAAATATTAGTCCTTATAATTTAATAAAAATATAAACCATTTTATCCATTAAGAAACCAAAACCTATATTTTTTTTTTTGTCAAAACCAACACTTATGATTTAAAATTTGAGAGAACTAAAACTAAAATCAGAACAAACTTAGGAGACAAAAAATTATATTAATCCTATTTGAAAATATTTTGTGGTACATTTTAAAGTGTTTTTAGGTGCATCTAGTATCCAATTGACTTATTTAAAGAGATTAAAAAAGTTATTAAATTATTTTAAAATATTTATATTTATTATTTTTATCTACACTAATTTTTTTACTTGTAAATTAATGTATATCAAAGAGATCATATAGCATATGCTAATTAAGTAATTTAGTACTCCTTAAGTTCTTAATGTAGGATCTAATTATTAAATTATTCTTGGTTTTTAATATAAGACCTATTTTTCATATTTATCAATTTTTTTTAAATTACCTTTATTACTACTCCGTCGACTATAATCAAGATAATGGAGGATATTAAAAAAATAATTATAATATTTTCAGGAAAAACATGTCATATTTTTTATAATTAACTAACTTGTTTAACTTTCTTAATCTAATCAAATTAGTTAAATAAGTTTTACACTAAAAACTGAAGGAATAACTTTATTAATCTCTCCAAATTAGCTAATTGATTCTTAAATTAAGGACCAGGTAGTATTTTTTTAGTGCAATTTTATGCTTAGCAATTTCGAGTGCTTAATGCATTAAAAAAATAATTTAGAGTACTGAAAGCACTTAAAATGGTATTCTAGGGTGTTGGACACAACAAAATATGATTTAGGGTGTTAAATATATTTAAAAAATATTTTAAGATATTAGATGTACAACAAAATATTTTATTTAGGATAATAGATGTATAATACTTTACGATACTTTACCCACCTTAACCTTTTGTATTTTTGTGGATTAAGAATTTTGCATATACATGGTTATGTTAATTGACACTGATGAAAAGTACACGTGAGTTTTTATGTCTGCATGTGTGTATACATTGCCAACGTAGATATGAGAATAGATAAGCAGAATATTTCACAGTTTAGGCACCACACATAAAATAATTTTTTAAAAAAATTGATAATTATGTACATTGACAAAAATATTCCTTTCATTCTAGACAAATATAATCTGGAGATAGTCATATGTAGCCCGAAAATGGAATTAGCTCTAATATTATACTACCTCCGATCCTTATTATAAGACCCCGTTTGACTTTTTGTTTGGTTCTAATTATAAGACCTCAATCCATTTTGTCTCTCATATTTATGTATTTTTTTTTCCAAAATAATCCTTCTAATAATGATAGTTCTAGTCAATACACTTAATTAGTAAGGATATTTTAGGAATGACAACACTTATTTATTACAAATAACTAACTTAACTTACTTCCTTAATCTCCTCAAATAAGTCAATTGGGTCTCATAATTAGGACCGGAGGTAGTATCTTTAAAGTGTTTAATTCTATATTTGATTTAGTTTGCTTGGAAAACTCTTAATATCACAAATGGCTATACTACTATAACTTTGTAATTCATTCCAACATTAGTAATACTGTGTTATTAAATATACGAGAACATTACATCAGATACAATGCGAAGTTACCACCTATAGGAAGTCAAGTCACTAAAGTTCCCACCCATCTCTTTTGTCTTTCCTTGCGGAGTAAGTCACCAAAAGGCATCAATAATCCCAGCTCCCTCTTTCACTGAGAAAATTCCAAACGCGTTCATCTGAATCATTGTTCTAAGCCACCCATTACTATATAAACCCCCATCTTCCGAATCATTGTCCACGATGCACACCTTCTCTACCCCTTCAAACGTCTTCTCAGTTTTCTGCAAACTCTATACTCATAAAAGCACACAACCAAAATGGGAAGGTATTCTGTCGAAGATTTTCTTATTCAGAAGCTAAACTCTTTGTCCTTCGACCAAAATCAGCAACCTCAGAAGTCCGATGGTGACATTCTTCCACCCATTGTCTCTTCCTACAATGAGAAGATCCGACCAATTCTTGACGCTGTGGAGAACCTCAGACGCCTTAACATCACCAAAGAAGGCATTCAGCTTCCAAGCATTGTCGTTGTCGGTGACCAGTCTTCTGGCAAGTCCAGTGTCTTGGAATCTCTCGCAGGGATCAGTTTGCCACGTGGGCAAGGAATCTGCACGAGGGTGCCCTTAATTATGAGGCTCCAAAACCACCCTCTGCCAGAGCCAGAGCTTGTCTTGGAGTATAATAACAAAAATGTATCAACAGATGAACAGCATGTCTCAGATGCTATAAACATAGCCACTGAAGAGCTTGCAGGGACGTCCAAAGGGATTCGCAATACCCCTCTGACTTTGCTGGTGAAGAAAAATGGTGTTCCTGATCTCACCATGGTGGACTTGCCAGGAATAACCAGAGTTCCTGTTCACGGACAGCCTGAGGACATCTATGACCAGATCAAAGACATGATCATGGAGTACATCAAACCTGAGGAAACTATCATTTTGAATGTTCTCTCAGCTACTGTTGATTTTCCAACCTGTGAATCCATTAGGATGTCACAGAGTGTTGACAGAACTGGTTTGAGAACTCTGGCTGTTGTAACAAAAGCAGATAAGGCTCCCGAAGGATTGCGAGAGAAGGTTACTGCTGATGATGTAAACATCGGTCTTGGTTATATTTGTGTGAGGAATCGAATTAATGATGAGTCCTATGAAGATGCTCGAAGGGAGGAAGCTATGCTGTTCCAGAGTCATCCTCTTCTGTCAAAGATAGACGAATCCATGGTGGGTGTACCTGTTTTGGCTCAGAAGCTAGTTCAGCTTCAAGCTTCAATTATTTCCAAGACACTTCCAGAAATGTTAAAAAAAATCAACGAGAAGCTCAATTCTCAGCTTTCTGAGTTGGAGAGCTTACCGAAAAACCTAACTTCCACTGGTGATGCTATGGCTGCTTTCATGCATATAATTAGCTCGGTGAAGGAGTCACTCAAGAAAATTCTAATCAGAGGAGAATTTGACGAGTACCCAGATGACAAAAGCATGCATTGCACGGCTCGCTTGGTTGAGAAGCTGAACAATTACTCAAAAGATCTTCATGAATGTCCAGAAAGCAACCACAAAAAGAATTTTCTCACGGATGAAATAATGCTCATGGAGGAAGCCAAGTGGATAGGCCTCCCAAACTTCATGCCTCGCACGGCTTTTCTGGCTTTATTGCGGAAGAAAGTCGAAGGAATCTCGTCGAGGCCGATTCAGCTTGTTGATGATGTGTGGGACTATCTGGAAAAAGTGGTGATTGGAGTCATCAACCGCCATTCAGAACACTATTATCAGCTTCAGAGGTGGACATGCAGAGCAGGAGAAAATATGATTGCTCGAATGAGAGAGTATTCAAAGAAACACGTAAAGGAGGCCATCGAAATGGAAAAGCTGACAGATTACACTTGTAATCCAGAGTACATGACTGAATACAGTAATCTGATGGCTCAGCAGTCTTCTTTTGTTGAACTTGTGCGCCAAGGTCATAGTGCTGCAAATATTAATGGTCTTGGAAACGACATAGAGATTGGTCATCTGGGACCGCACATGGAAGTTCTGAATCAAGCTTATGACATGAAGATGAGAATGATTGCTTATTGGAGGACTGTGCTGAGGAGGCTCATTGATTCCATAGCCCTGCACCTGCAGTTCAGCATCAACAATCTGATAGATAGGGAGTTGGAGAAGGAAATCACTGCATGTTTCACGTCTTCAAGTTTTGGAGGAATTGAAAGCTTGCTGGAGGAGTCGCCTTCCATGGCTGGCAAGCGTGCGATGCTCAGTCGAAGTGTTGAAGTTCTCAGAGAAAGTAAGGAGGTAGTTTCTAACATCATGGACAACACTTCTCGTTCCTGAGGTCAAGTGCTCTGACATGTGTGGGTTTATCCATTCTATGTATCAGTTTCAGCGTGTTTCTGTAATATTTTTCTGTTTTAATTTGAAGTGATGGTATTGCGTTTCTGAAATATTTTTCGTTTTTAATCTGAAAGTGATGGTACTGTGTTTCTGTAATATTTTTCTGTTTTAATTTGAAGTGATGGTGTCGTTCCAGTTTTCTCGCCCCTTCCTAGAAAAGAAACACAAATGCTGTTATCAAATGTCCGTGATTAAAATCAGTTAAGATTGCTTTATGTTTTTCATTACCTCGTTGGGTCAAACTTCCACATTTGATTTGCTGTGTAATTTAATTTTGCATGACAGTTCTGTGCTGCTTCTTTGCGTAGCAACTGGGAAGTCTGCCTTTTCACAGGCATATCCCCATTTAAGAAATCTAAAGTTTTCAATCATAGTCCTCCCAAAATATATTTTTTTCCTCCAACGGGACATCCAACTATTTAAATTTTCTTTATTATATAATTATGATTATTTATCTATTATTGAAATAATCAATAAATCTTAAAAAAAAAAAAAGTGAACTGAATACAAAAGCATGAGAAGAAATTAAAAAGAACAACTAAAAAACACCGATACCAAGAGAGGAACCCATTGTTTATGGCTAGTGAATAATTCTGCTTTATATAAGTTTCGTTATTGATTTTAAATTGAAACCAATAATTCACATACTATTTTTTCGTGAGGACAATGTATCCCGGCTGGCTAGTGATACCACATGTATATGTTCCTCCCCCGGGGGGGGGGGGTGTGTAGATATATGAGGCATGCAGATATGAAGCAAAGAAAATGCATGTGTGTGCACACATACTACCTCCGATTCTTAGTATAAGATCTCGTTTGACTTTTATTTTAGTTCTAAATATAAGACCTCAATCCATTTTGTCTTTCTTATTTATGTATTTTTTTTAAGACAGTTCTTCTGATAATGGTAGTTATAACCAATACACTTGATTAACAAGTATATTTTAGGAAAACAACATCTATTTATTATAAATAACTAACTCTGTTTGTTTTCTTATGAAGCAAAAAGTGAAAGACGCCCAAGTAAGTTACAAACTAGCGCTTGAATAAAAAGGTTTTAAAACACTAAATAATGAAGACCCTATTTTGAAATAAACAGAATTCACGAATTGTTTCAGATAATGAACTTACATGGAAACCTAATCGTAGAATTGGTCACAAATCATTGCAAGATATAATAACATTTGCTTCTTTTTATTTTGAATCCTTTTTTTCTTTTTTCTTCCCCTAACTTAACAAGCAGAGTGATCTATAAATATTACTATCTCCGGTCCTAATTATAAGAGATAATTGACTAATTTGAGGAGATTAAAGAAGTAAGTTGAGTTAGTATTTATTATGTAAATTTTCATATCATTCCTCCCACTGAGCTTCGACCGCGATTGATCTTTTTGAAAAACATAAAAATAAAATAAGGGTATTAAGTTTTTTCACTCATAAAACTTAATTTCATTTTCATCCAAAGGGCTGAGTGAAGTTTCATAATTTTCTCCCTTTTAATAATTACTCCCTCAATTTCTGAACATCGGTCATGCCCTCTCCTTTGTCCAGATGGGCTCGGGCCTGGTTTTTATTAGTGGACAATGGGTTTTTTTTTATAATTATATATATAAAGGTAAATCATCCTACTGAGCCCAAGACCCAACTTGTTGATTTCCCTTTTTTTCCTTCTTCTTTTTTTTTCACCTCAGCACAGGTGGCAAGCTCTAAGCATTGAAGTACGCTGAAACAAGGGAAACCAGAAGACCACGTCCTACTTATACCCGCCAAAAGCCTGGACTTGGCATTCTGGGTCTTTTTCTTTTCTAATATAAACTGTGGGGTATGATTTTACCCCAAAAAAAAAAAATGTGGGGTATGACGGGGGCTGAATCAGCCCTCCCCTGCTCAGATGGTTTGGTACTGTGTGTGCATATATTTTATTATTTTTGTTTTACATTCTTTAGTTTTGTATTTAATATAATAGCAATAATAATTGATTTCATTTCTTTTTTTATTTCTTTGCAATTTCCATCTCTATTATTACTAATATATTATAGTCACTTTTATTTTTATAAATAATGTTTTGTGTAAATTCTCTTTTCTCAAATAATTACATGGTAAAATTTCATTTACCATGAAATAATTTTCTTTCCAAATATTTAAATTATAAGAATAAAAAAAACAGGATGTTACACTTCCAATTAATTCATTTTAATTTTTTATTGAAATTTTATTATTTAAAATAGTCACTTTGTATTTGGGAGATTATTAGGAAGATTTGATATATGTTTTAGATATTTTTAATTATCCTAAGAATCTTTTTAAATTTATCGGTAGCTTACATTTTTAGGATATTATTTTAGATACATGAGTTGCCAAATAGGAACTTCAAGAATATTATTTATTTAATATTTTGTTACTATATCCTTGATTTAAAATTTAAATAGATGGCATATCTTCAGAATATTTTTCTTAATCTTTAAAGCCTCATTAGGGTTAGAAATTTAAAGAGACAATTGCATTGAGTTGTGATGAAGTAATCACTTTTATCAAGTCTTGTAGTTATGAATAAGAAGCTTCTTTTAGCAAGCATTTACTTGTGGGTACGTATTCTTAATAGAAACTTATATAGGTTAAGGTGCAAGTGGATATGATTAAAAGATGCCTTGATAGGTTTTGCCCTAGGCCTGGCCAAAAAGTTAGTCAAGCCAAAACACGGCTGTCCTTCTCCAATACTATGAATCGTACAAGAAGCCGGCAGATTAGTGAGCATTTGCGTTATACGAGCACCCAGGGCTTGGGTAAGTATTTGGGAGCTTCCCTTCATTATGGGAGAGTAAAGAAGGAAACTTGCCAATTTTGCTATCCAAGCAGCCCGACTCTATTCCATGCAGACTTGCCCAGTCCCTACGGCTATTTGTGAGGTGGTGGAGGAGCATGCTCGGGGTTTCCTGTGGGGCTACTCTAGTGAGTAGTGAAGAGTTCATCTATTACATTGGGATGAGGTGTGTCCAGACAAGCAAAGAGGGGAGCTAGGAGTTGGACATTAATTCGGTGCTACAAAATAAAGCGTTCATGCTGAAAGCTGGGTGGGGTCTCATGAAAAAGCCGAATGATGACCTCTGGATTCGCGATATAAGAAACAAATACCACTGTAAAAATGATCTTATACTGTTTATTGAGGAAGGATAGGCTCGTTTTAGGCTCTGGGTGGGTCTCTGAAAATTTGGAAGTTTGGAAGTTTGAAAATTTGAAAACGGTGGGCATTTGGAAGTTTTTTTTTCCTATGCCAATTTGCTCTAAAAATTTAAAATCATAATAACATTGACAGTTATTATTAAAAATGTTAATAGTCAATAATACTATTTAAATGGTCAATGTTATTTTTTTAACGATGAGAGCAATATCACTATAATTTCAAATATTCAGGTATTTAGTACTCCAGGAAAAAACTTTTGAGGCAAATTAAATTTACACCTTAATCTTAGATACTTTCAGATGGCAAGGGTTTGATCAGTGCCTTTTATAGCTAATGATCTAGCGACAATCATGCAAATTCCTATAAGATTTTAGTTAATCAATTTTTTTATTATTTTCCAGTCTTATATTTTGTATTTGTCACATCATAGAGCAGTCCTAATCACTTTGTGACTTATTCCTCAGGTTTTACATGTAATAGCTAATAAAAATTTTACTTTGGTCCTAAGAATATTTAATTCATTTTATTTTTTAAATTTGTAATTTTTTCTTAATTCCTCTTTTTTGATTGTACATAACAAAAAAATCAATAAAGGAGTAGTTTTCTGTGGAAATTATATTAAAGGTACTTTTAAGAAATCGATACACATTTTTTAACAAATAATCAATTTGATTAATTTTTAATATTTGTAAATTAATTATCTCCCTTCTACATTTATGTTCAAAATAAAAATTTTGTTCCCTCCTCCTCATTTTGAAGAGGCAAAGACATAATAGGACACCGCCAAAAGAATCTTATGCCCTGATGAGGTTGAGAATCTGATCCTTAAGTTTATTTACACGAGACAAATATAACGTAAATTTGATTTTGTTTTTCAACCTGACATATGAGTGATATGACTGTCAAGAAAGAGCTCATCTTCCTCATACGGGTAATTTGATTTTTTTTTTTTTTAAACATCAGCATACTATTTTTACCTCAGTAAATATAAAATTATGTATTTTTTTATTTTTTTTCTAAATTTAATGTTAAGGGTAATGCTCAAAGTGACGCTGAAAGGAATATATATGTGTGTGTAATGAAATAAATAAAATTAGAGCATGGTGATGCTCTGATGAGGAAAAGCGGTGGTGAGAGAAAAAGAAGGATAAAAAGAAGGGGAAATTTCACTGTAGGACCGCAGAAGGCAAATAATTTCAAAGAGCCCCCAAAACTTTCTGAAACCTCACTGCAGGACCAAGGGACCAATCTGATATTAATTCTTAGAGTGAGATTACAATAATACCCCTCCATTTTTATTTTATTAAAAAATAAATATTTACCGGAGTTACTGTTCCGGCCACCGGAGGCCGGAGGTCCGGCCACCGGTGCTCAGGTGGCCGCCGTCGGGGTCCGGTCACCGGTGGCCGGAACAGTAACTCCGACGGGACCTCCGGTGGCCGGAGTTTTTTTGTTTAAAACAAAGTGGCCAAGGGAGGGTTTGAACCCAGGACCCCTTGGCACACCAAAAGAGTTGTAACCACCAAGCCAAGCAACCCATTCAATCATAAAATGCAAATAAAACTACATATAACAAAATAAACGCAACAGTCCAAATGTAAGTGAACAAGTGAAATTAGACTATTTACAAGTGGAATTCAGAAATTTGCAACAAAAGTTAGGCAATTTACAAATAACATAATAGAAGTCATAACCCAAAATGCAAGTGTTTAGGTGCAAATGAGCAAGTAAAATTTGAAGATTTACAATAAAAGTTTATGGATTTACAACCCACATTTGGCAAACACAAGAGAATTCACAACCTAAAATGTAAGTGTTTGAATGTAAGTGAACAAGTGAAATTAGACGATTTACAAATGTAATTTAACAATTTACAATAAAATTAGACAATTTACAAATAACATAATAGAAGTCATAACCCAAAATGCAAGTGTTTAGGTGCAAATGAGCAAGT